GGCCCCCCCCTCGCGCGACCGAGATCGCGCCTCCAGCGGCGGCGCGCCCTGACAGGCGCGCCAACCAGATGGCGCTCATCGGCGGGATCTCCCTCGCCAGTCGGCCCATGGCGCCCGCGACTGCGGGGGCAGCTCGCCTCGCCGTCGACGGCGCGAACGCCCGCCCGAACGGCCCCGATCGCTGTGGGCCCGAGAGGCTCGCCCGCAATGGGGCGCGCCTGAGCGGGGCCGGCAGGCGGCGAGGCGGGCGGGTGGGGGCTGAAATGATTGGAGAGGCCTGACGGCCGGTGCCGCCGACCCTGATCGAAGGGGCTAGGAGAGGGGGGAGGAGGAGGAGGACGAGGGGAGGAGGAGGAGGAGGAGGAGGAGGAGGAGGAGGAGGAGGAGGAGGAGGAGGAGGAGGAGGAGGAGGGAGGAGGAGGAGGAGGAGGAGGAGGAGGAGGAGGAGGAGGAGGAGGAGGAGGAGGAGGAGGAGGAGGAGGAGGAGAGGAGGGGGGGGGCTGGAATGATTCCCGTTGAAGGGGGCGTTTCCGTGGAAGCCCCGGGGGCCCGGCAAGCCCGGAAGGCCACGGTGCCGTCACACTCCGCGGGGCCCAGCGGATCGCGGAGGCAGCCCGAGAGCATCGGGGGCCAGCTTTTGAGGGGGCGGTAGAGGGCAAGCCAGCCCACACCGAGGTGACGGGGTCGTTCTACTCCGCGGGGCCCAGAGAATTTCGGAGGCAACCCGAGAGCATCGGGGGCCAGTTTGTAAGGAGAGGGTAGAGGGCAAGCCGGCCCCCCAATGCGGCCGCTGAGATCCACCTTCCTCTCCCCGGCGACGTTGGCCTCCCCTCCCCGGAGTGCAAAAAACCTCCAGAGCCCCCATCGTTTCCCCCTGGTTGTCCATCAACTCTTTCTCTCGCGCTTCCAGGTCGCGGCCCCGCCTCCCGCGGCCCATCGCGAAGAATTCGCGTTCGTGCCCAAAGTGGGGGAGGGGCTTGGCCCGGTTGATTGCTCCCGGCAACCAAGACAGCATCGCCCCTTGAGCGCGAAGAGCCGCGACGCCAAAACCACGGCCGCCACCGCAGACCGTCGGCGTGCGCAAGTGGCAGAGCGCCGCGCCCACGCTGCGCGGCAAGGGCGCGTGAGCGGCAGAATCTTCGCGCGCCGCACATTTCGTCTTGCCACGTTGCGCCGATTGGCCAGTTTCGGGGAGGGCGCCGGTGTTCGTGCGCCCTTTTCTGTCAGCTCTGACGGGAAAACCGCCTTTCCAAGCATGGGCCAGATCTGGATTGGGAAGGTTTTCAGCCGATTTGAAATCCCAGCCACCGCTTGTAATGGCGTGCGCGCGCTGATGTGCAACTCGGTTGCGCTTCTTCGAGTCGGAGACGAGGTGCTAGAGCTCTGCTTTATCTGTCCTCAAAGACGCCTACTGTCGGGGACTCGATGGGCCCTCGGGATGGATCCCCTGCTCCGATGCATGGTCAGATTCTTCGTGGTAGCTGGAGGCTCACAGGGCGACCTTAGAGCCTGTGCAGATGATGTAGGAGCGGCTCCTCGTTGCATCCGGCACCTTCGCGCTTTCTTTTCTCCCTTCCAGGCTGGTGATGCCCTTGCTGGCCTCCTCCTCCAGCCCAGGAACGTCTGGCCGGTGCCACTCTGGAGCCTCGCCTCTGAGGACATCGGTTGTAGCATTTGCCGCCTCTTGAGCACCGAAGTCCCAGAGCGGGCCTCTCTCTTTGAAATCGAGTCAGCCACGAAGTACTTCGGTATCCCCCACGAAGTACCTCGGTATCTTGATTGGCTCTTGTGCGACTCCGGCTGACGAATGGGACACTGCTGGACAAAGGTGGTGGTGGGTTCGGGCGAGGGAGACGGGGGGAGTCGAACGCCGTCTGCAGCGTCGGTCACACTCAATAACGCTCACTGCGTTTCAAAATTCGGTCATCTTGCTCGGTACTGTGCGGCCTCGCCCCACATCCTGGGCTATGCGCAACATGCCGCGCATCCCGCCCACCTCGTTAGAATGCTCTGAACTCTTTAGTATTTGATATGGCTGGCATCAGGGGATCCGCAACCGTCCTCGTTGCGACCGCTGCCGCTGACTGGCGCATGGCCACGAAGACTCTTGGTGGGTGGTGGGAGGGGTGGCTCGCTCGGCACGAGGAAGTTGTGCAAGAGCACGGCGCGATCGTTGACTGGCTTCGTCATCGGTAATCAGCTCCATATTAGGCCATCACCCATGTGCATAGCGCAGAAGTTCAGGGAGTGGAGCGGTTTCAAGCCAGCTCGAGTTCGATCGCGCCCGTCCCCGCACAGTGTTTCAAGGGGGGGCATCCAGGCGGCGGAAGGGCGCACAGCTGCCCCGCGGCGGGCAGGACCGCCCCTCGCGACGCCGCGGGATCCAGTCCTTGTTCTCCTCCCACCTCACCTTGCGGATCTACCCTGATGAGCTACAATTGCTGTGTCATCGCCGTTTCTCCTCTAGGCTCCCACCCCCGGATGTCCCAGGAGTGGAGGAAATGAGGAGCCGCTGGAATGATTTACCACAAGTGAAGTTTTGAGCTTGGACCCAGTTGGAGATCATCGCTGACGCCTGGATTACTACGCACAGAATTCGTATCCTTGCCCCGCTCACATGTAGATTTGGGTGTGAGAATTGCCCAGGCTCGATCACCCACGACATTGTTTGTCATCGCCCTGTCCATCTCCTTGCTCTCCCTGGGCGTATCTCCCTCCCCTCGGACCCGCTCGTGCGTCTCGATCTCGGCCGCCCGAAGATCCCAATGCAGCTGAAGTTTCGCGTGCCAGGGCACACGAACTGATTGCCGTCGGTTCCCAGATTCTTCACAAGTCGAGAGTCGACCTCCAGTGCCAGCCTCATTGATTTGGAATGTATAGCATTACTCTTCAGACGCGCCACTCCGCGCTGCTTGCTTGTCAGGTCTTCCAGGAGCGAGTCCGCCTGGCCCCCCCGCTTTTTTGCCAGCCCTGCCAGCGCTCCTTGTGTTCCATTCATACTTGGATCATGTGTCCCTTACGACGTCAGTCCCGGATCTCGCATTGCAGGACGAACGTTTGATTTCGAAGGCCGCACCCCTCTGCAATTCAGACGCGGAAGGACACATCATGTCACTGCTCGTTCGAATCAATCATTTAATGGTTGCATGGCCTGTTCCCATGGGCACTTGGACTCCCCCTCCCTTTCCCCCCCTTCCTCCTCCTCCTCCTCCTCCTCCTCCTCCTCCTCCTCCTCCTCCTCCTCCTCCTCCTCCTCCTCCTCTTCCTCGTCCCCCTCCTCCTCCTCCTCCTCCTCCTCCTCCTCCTCCTCCTCCTCCTCCTCCTCCTCCTCCTCCCTTCGCGGCCACGCGCAGTGGGGGGTAGGGGGAGGGATGAAGGCTTCTTAGAAGGAGGCTGCTTCTTTGACGGCGTGGCCCTTACTTATAAATGTGAGACGCGCGCGTTTTAAGAAGCAATCTCCTGAGAAGGTGTTCTCCCTCCCCTTACCCCTTGTGCGCGCCGCCAATATTCGGCCCCGGTCATCTCTTTCTCATCCTCCGCGTGCTCAATATCAACAATGATTGACTTGCAATTGTACAAAACATGGCGTTCAGGAAGAAGTGCAGGTACCTGTGCAGATGCTATATTTTTGCTCTTCGTGTGCACCATGGAACTATGTGCCTGTTCTTTGCATATTCGGTGCAATTATTTCTGAGGCGCACGGGAACCCGTTCGCCACCACCGCCCGTGCGAGTCTTGAGCGCTCCCAAGAAAGAGGATCAGGTTTTGGGATGCATCTGAGTCCAGTATGCGCGATGGACTTTGCAGGGCATGTGAGCAGTCAGCTTGGCGCCCACTCTGATGTCTTCAGCGCTGCGGTCAAAGTACCTTCCCTTCGGAGGCACATTCAGCAGCTCCCGCCCCTGTCGAGCAGCCAAAGGGCTCACGATGCCCTATGTGGCCAGCCTCAGCTTAGTTTCAACTCTCACGAGCGGGTGCATTTGTTTTTTTGTCGTGGTCGGCGCGCACGAGAGAATTTCAGCGCTGTGTCATACTATTGTCATGTGTGCCGCGACGCGGTGTTTTTGGAGGAAGACTCAGCTCGCGCTGCTCAGCAGTTCGCACGGGGAAGGCTGGAAGGGAGAAGGGAAGGAAGGAGATTGATTTGCCAGCAAGCGCTTTGAATATGACCACGAGACCAATGTTTGAGTTTTGGCGCCCCAGCGGTGGGGGGGGGGAGGGAGGTGATGGAGTGGTGCAGGGGGGGAGGCCGGCAAGTCAGCGGGGGGTTATGGCTGTATTTTTATTTGGGGGATAAGTGCATGATACGGTTCAAGCGTGGACCCAAGATGGTGAACGTGTGAAGCCTATGTGGCGCATTAAAAGCAATGCGAAGCCTTGCAAAGTAAATTGATGCAACCAATTGGCTGGACCCCATGAGCGGAACTCCATGGCCACATCGAGCCAGCGCCGACCACGTCGCAACCCATGGGCGGCACCAGTGCTACAAGCATTGGGCACCGTTTGGATCGAGCTCATCAGATAATACGTGGGAGCCCCTAAGTACAAGCACTCTTTGGGGATCATATCGTCCCGACGTTTGACAGAAGACGTGTCTTGTGAACTATTTGAAGGGTTGTAACCCCTGCCGCCGCACCCCTGGACCACTGAGCCATCTTCAGCCTGTGCTGGGCCATCTCGGGGCACTCTGTTGGCCTCGCCAGGCTATCTTGGGGCCCCCCGGCGGCGCATTGGAGCGTTTGGGTGCTACTTTTCGGGCCGTCTGGGACGCCATCAGGACTGTCCTCGGTGCCCCTGGGGGTAATCCTGGGGGACGTCTTGGGGTCGTCCTCTTATCTCGCCCCTTCCTCGCCCCGCCGAGACGAGGCGACCGCGTGGTGTTAAGCTTAAGCCGTCGCCTGCACAGCTGGTCGGCGGGCGGGCCGGCCCGGACACCTGCAGGCCCCTCGTCGTGCGCAGTAGTGCAGCCTTTGCCGAGAAACGAATCCCGCCGATGCGAGGCGGATGGCCCTCGGCTCGCGCCCGCCGGTCGCGATGCGGCCCGCGCCCCCGCGGACGGACTGGTTTAGGGAGCTGCTCGGCTTCCGGGAGGTCGACGAGGCCACGGAGAGGAGGACGAGGAGCAGGGTGAGGCAGGCAGGTGCAGGAGGAGGAGGAGGAAGCAGGGAGGAAGCAGGGAAGAAGAGTAAGAGGGAGGGATGAGCGAGTGATGTAGGGAGGCGGGTCTGGGTTGTTTTGGGCATCGGCTCTAGGGATCTCCGCTTGATTTTCATGGGTGCTATGGCTTTGCACTAGTTCTAGTGTGTGTTTGAGCGGGTTTTTGAATGTTCTAAGAGGGGGCGGAGGTAACAACAGGTTCTTCGCAGGTCTACGACGAGAGGGATGGGGGAGTGGGATAGGGCAGGGGTGAGAGAGGACGAACAGGAGGGACGATAGAGGACGAAAGAGGGGACGGAGGAGGAGGATGAGGAGGAGGGGTGATAGAGGAGGGAGGAAGACGGAGGGCCAGGATGCTTCTTCCTGGGGATGCTTGTGGCGTCCTGGATGCAATCGGAAATTTTGTGGCACTTAGAACAGGAGGATAACGAGGAGTTGGAATGGATGGAGAGTCGGGATAGAGATGAGGACGGAGGAGGAGGAGGAATGAGGAACGGGGATGGGAGGAGGCTTGGGGGAGGAAAGGGAGGAGGAGGCGGAGGAAGAGGAAGAGAAGGCGGAAGAGGAGGAGGAGGAAGAAGGGATAAGGGAGAGGGGATGAGGACAAGCTAGGTGCGCTCGCGTCATATCCGACGTCAGATCTCCTTTATATTCGCGCAATCGGATGTCGTAACATGGCATAGCATTACATGGCATAGCATGGTGTTGAATATCAACGCCTAGCATGACATCGCATGCCGTGGCGGCGCCCTAAAGTGGGCGGGCTTCTGCGGCCCACACAGTCAGAGAATCGACCACGAATGCGCAATCACTTCCGATGGTTTCTTCGGGAGGCATTGTTTTAGATTTGGGAGCCTATTTGGAAGGACAGAAAACCATGCCGCGGCATGGCGCTGGAAAGCACGACGCCAGCGCTGCAGCGGGAGCCCGATTCGGAACGGGCGATAATGCAGAAATGAGGCCAGCGTTGCAGCGGGAGCACGACTCGGAACGAGCGGTAGCCCGAAAATGGGACCCGCGTTTCAGCGAAAGCAGCATTTTTAACAACAGCCCAAGCGCAGAAGCGGAAATGAGGACGCGTAGCCTGACATAGCATGGCGTGGCGACGCCCCAAAGTGGGGGGCTTCTGCGGCCCCAGAGATCAACGAATCGGCACCGAATGTGTAAGCACTTCCAATGGTTTTTTCAGGGACCGTTTTTTGAATTATAGGGCCAATTTGAAGGACCGAAAACCATGCCGTGGCATGGCGCTGGAAAGCATGATGCCAGCGCTGCAGCGGGAGCCCGATTCGGAACGAGCGATAACGCGGGAATGAGGCCAGCGTTGCAGCGGGAGCACGACTCGGAACGAGCGGTAGCCCGAAATTGAGGCCAGCGCTTCAGCGAAAGCAGCATTTTGAAAACAAGCAAGAAAACCCAAGCTAAAACATCACTCCCGGGAGCCCTGTGTTTAAACAACCAGTACGCGGAGGGGGGCCGAACAATCCTTGGACGCCACCAGGGAAGAGAGGAGAGTAGTAGCCATATTGTTTTACCGTCGAGGAGGCAGAGGAGGAGGAGGAAGAGGAGGAGGAGGAGAAGGGAGGAACAGAGAGGGGGCCAATGGATGAAGAGAAAATGATGAGGAGGGGGAGGAGGAGGAGAAGGAGGAGGACCAGTGTAAACCCAATAGTCACGAACGATGTTGGAATAAACCCTCCCCCCACGCTTCCTCTTCATAGGCCCTTACAACGGTGCACTTCCACAGAGGGACCTGCATCGTTGGAAGGCAACAACCGTTTGAAGACCCTGAAGCGCGCCACTAGATTCTTCTCTGCATTCCAACGCCACGGATGAGCCTGACTGTTGCGTCTTGACGATCCTAAATCGTGACACAATTCCTGGGACCTCAACTTGCGAATCATCGTAACTGCTGCGCCCTCAAAACCGTGAATCCTTCCAAAACACCATGACTGGTATGTCGACCATGGGAAACCGTGAAACTTCTGCAATGTTGTATCAAGAGTGTGCGCGGCGCTAAGGCGAGAGCCACATGTTGAGAAGGAACCGCCCTCAATCCGTGAAGCTCTTGTACATGTTTAAAAGAATGTGCGCGGCGCTAAGGCGAGAACAACATTTTGAAAAGGAACCGCCCTCAATCCGTGAAGCTCTTGGCAAGAGCCACATTTTGAAAGCGACCCGCCTTCAATCCGTGAAGCTCGTGGAAGTTTTTAGAACGAATGTGCGCTGCGCTTTGGCGAGAGCCACATTTTGAAAACCATCCGCCCTCAATCCTTGAAGCCCTTGCAAATGTTTAAAACGAATGAGCGCGGCGCTAAGGCGAGAGTCACATTTTGAAAACCAGCCGCCTTCAATCCCTGCAACGCTGGCAAATGTTTGAAACGAGTGTGCGCGGCGCTAGGGCGAGAGCCACATTTTGAAAACGACCCGTCCTCCATCTGTGAAGCTGTTGCCAATTATTAAGCTTCAGGGTCATACGTGGTGAGAAAGTCTCAGGCGAAACGCCTGGCCCGCCCTGAAAACTGGCCTCGGAGTGCGACGGGAGAAGTTTCTTATAAAGAGAAGGACTGGAGGAGGAGAGGTGGGAGCAGAAGATGGATGAGAAGAAGGAGGAGGAGGAGGAGGAGGAGGGGGAGGAGGAGGAGGAGGAGGAGGAGGAGGAGGAGGTGGTCGACGAGGCCACAGTGAAGGCGAACCTGCGCCTGGAGGGGAGCACGCTGCACTCCAAGGCCAACGGCAAGAGCTTCGAGGTGGGCGTCTTCTCGACGCCTTCGCTCGAGGAGCTGCGGGAGCAGGGGCGCCGGGCGCTGGCGGAGGCGGGCGCCGCCGCGAGGGCGTCGTTGTCGCCGCCGCCGCCGCCGTCGTTCTTTGGCCAAGACCCGAGACCCCGACATCCAACGCATTGACAAAACGAGGCGGTGTTTTTCGACAGTTTTCGGCCTCTGGGGGCCCTCGCCGGGCCCCGGGACTGTCGAAGGATGGTTCAGGATAGAAGCCAGTCCTGGGGGGCTGGGACTTCTGGGGACCCCGTACGGTGGGGGCGCCCATCAAGGAATAAGTGCCCAGGAGGCGTCAGACCCTGGAGGGTTCCTTATCCGATGAGGGCGGCGGCGGTATCCATGGCCAAATCTCAACTCGTGTTCCACTGGCCTCCAGATCCTGGATGCTCCATGCTCTGACCGCTTGGGAAGATCAAGGCATCGGATGCTTGAGGATCCGCTCGGAGCCGGCCCCCGGACCCCTCCCGGGAGCCACCCTGGCCGGTTCTCCTGGCCTCGTCCGTCCGTGGCGATGAGAGCCTCCTCCAGCAATGCTCTCCCAGAGAGCCCTTTCCGAAGCGAGCGACGTCGCAGGCGCCGAAGACGTCGTCGCCGCATTCCCAAACGTCCAGTGCTTTTATGTGTTCAATACGCGGCGCCCTGAGGTTCCTTCCCTTTCCGTGAGGCTGGCTTCTTCTCATCCCGAGTTGTTTCTTATCGGTCCCAGGGCCCGAGCGATGGCCCCATCCGCCACAACCGAGGCAAAACGCCAGGATGGAAAAAAGCATATCGTCGGAGATCTGGGTTCCTCGTCGTTGCCGCAGTCTTCGCCGTCGTCGTCGTCGTCGCCGCCGCCGCCGCCGTCGTCGCCGCCGCCGCCGCCGCCGTCGTCGCCTCATTCGTCGTCGGCCGCGGCGGCGGCGTCGGCGGCGTCGTCGTCGTCACTCGTCGTCGCCGCCGCCGCTGCCGTCGTCGTCGCCGTCGTCGCCGGGCGCTCGCGGCAGGCGGGCGCCGCCGCCCTCGCGGCCGCCAGCCTGGCCGGCGCGCCCGCCGTGCGGCACGCCTTCGGGGACGCGGCGGAGCTGCACGCGCAGGGGGAGAACCGCCGCGCCCTGTTTCAGGCTGCGGGGGGGAGGTTCCCAGGAGCTTCAAGGTCTGCCAGATTCAGGAGCGAAAGGAGGACGCACACGTACACGAATCCAGGTTGGTTTCGAGCGTACGCATTGCCCGAATGTCCGTACCACGCGGCCAGTCTCGCGGATCGAGGGGCCGTGTTCACGTACATAGCTGGGCGCGTGCGTCCTTTCTGTGGAATCCCTACAGACGGGGTCGGAGCGGACGGGGTCGGAGGATCGCCAGCGCATCGCCAGCGCATCGCCGATGCATCGGCGGTGCATCGGCGAGGCGGCTCTACGTGGAGCCCCACTGCCTCCACGCCGGCGTCGCCGCCGCGTCGCCGGCATCGCCGAGGCATCGGCGCAGGGGGAGAACCGCCTCCTCCTCCTCCTCCTCCTCCTCCTCCTCCTCCCCCTCCTCCTCCTCCTCCTCCTCCTCCTCCTCCTCTCCTCCTCCTCCTCCTCCTCTCCTCCTCCTCCTCCTCCTCCTCCTCCTCCTCCTCCTCCTCCTCCTCCTCCTCCTCTTCCTGGGTCGGTGTGGCGAGGGCGCGACGAGAGAGTCGCGGTTTTCTCGCCGCGCGGCGCGGCCCCGAGCCGCAGACTCAGGCAGTGGCGAAGCGTCCTGGCTCGCCTATAGCCCTACCGAACAATGTTCTAAGAACCTTTGGTGGCTTCCACGGGCTGTTCTTAGAACATCTCTGGTTGAGATGGTTTTGTTTTAACACATCGGGTTTACGTTCTGAGAGCAGTGTGGTTGTTCTTGGAACATTTTTGGGTTCTGAGAACATTTCGTGGTAGGACTATAGGACTGCCGGGACGGTCGGTCCCTGCTCAACAGACAGGCTCGCGTGCCGAAACTATCAGGACGAGAGGTTTCTGGCCGCTGTGGGCCTCTGTGGGGTGCCCTCACTGGGCCGCAGGGCCGTCAAGGAGCGACTCGGGGTGAGAGCCAGTCTCAGGACAAGGGTCGGGCCTTCCGGGGAGCCCCGTGCTGAAAATCGAAGAGCAGAAATGTCATGAGCACGATTTCTCGGAGGTCCGCGCGGCAGGAATCCGCTCGGATCTCCGAGACGTTCTGTTTATGCCGTTGTTTGTTCCTCTGGGAGAATCGCCGCGCCCTAGTTCCGGCCGCGGGGGTTGTGCGGATGCAGATTCGGAGCGATTCTGCGACGCAATAGGATGCTTCGGGAGGAGGCCTTGCTCAACTCTGCCGAGGTGCTCTCTCCGAGCGGAGGCGGGGATGAGCGTGGGAGGGAGGGGGCGGGACAGGAGCGAGGAGGTCTTCCTCGCTCCTCCATCTTCCTCTCGCCTCCTCGTCGTCATCACCATCACCACCATCATCACCAACATCAGCATCATCATCAGCAGCACCAGCATCACCATCATTATCAGCAGCATCAGCATCACCGTCATCACAAACATCATCATCAACAGCACCATCATCAGTACCATCATAAGAATCAGCATCACCATCATCCTCATCACCATCACCATCACCATCACCATCACCATCACCATCACCCCCACCCGCACCACCATCATCGTCATCACCATCATCATCACCATCATCATCATCATCATCATCATCATCATCATCATCATCATCGTCATCCTCATCATTATCGTCATCGTCATCATCGTCATCATCGTCATCATCGTCATCAGCATCATCAGCATCAGCATCAGCATCCGCATCCGCATCCGCATCGGCATCAGCATCATCACCATCACCACCATCATCATCGCCATCATCATTATCATCGTCACCATCATCAGCATCATCACCATCACCATCACCATCATAGTCAGCATCACAACCACCATTGTCACCATCGTCATCATCAGCATCAGCGTCATCATCATCATCATCATCATCATCATCAGCATCAGCATCATCCTCATCATCATCATCATCATCATCGTTCCCATCATCATCATCATCACCATCATCATCACCATAATCATCATCAGCACCATCATCATCATTATCACCATCATCATCATCATCACCATCAGCATCATCATCATCGTCGTCGTCATCATCATCAGCATCCCCCTCTTCAGGGTCCTCCTCCTTCCTCCCTCCTCGGGAGGGAGGAGGAAGGAGAGTGACAAGGAGGGGCTTGAGTGAGGAGGAGGAGGAGGAGGAGGAGGAGGAGGAGGAGGAGGAAGAGGAGCAGGAGGGAGGCGGATGTAGGAGGAGGAGGAGGAGGAGGAGGAGGAGAGATGGGGAGGGAGGGAGGGAGGAGAGAGGCGGGGGGTGGAGGGAGGAGGAGAGATGGGGAGGGAGGGGCAGGAGAGGGGGCCCGCCAGGGGCGCGTCGTGGCCACGGCTGGGCAAAGCTCGAACGGGTGATCAGGACGGTGTGGTCCAGGGCTTGCCCTCTAGCGCAACTCTGGATGCCCCTCGAGTGTGGGCGCGGTGACAAACACCACCGCGGTGACAAAAACCACCAGAGTGCACGGGTTACTCGAGAGATGCTGTGGTCGCCTGCTTGTCCGCTTCGTCCCCTCTGCTTTCCTCCTTCTTCTCCCAAACGATTCGCTGGAAAAAACAACAAACAAAACACGGCGGGCGCTTGCACCCCGTTGCAGCACGGGGAGCCTCGCACACTCTTGCCGCCCAGCGGACTCTCCAGTGCTCCAGTCGCGACGCTCCACGACGCCACAGTTGCTCCCCCAGTCGGTCGCCCGGGGGGCTGAGGCCCGCTCGCCGCTGCCGCCCTTGGCAGACGAGGAGGGGTGGTCTCGGGCTCCCCTGCGGGCGGGGGCTTCCCCAGCCGCGACTCCAGACCCGCCGTGCGACTGCGCAAGTCGGGCGGAAGCCACCGCCCTGCTTCTCAAGCTCTTCCGGTGCCGACCTTCGCTGCTCTTTGCCGCCGCTGCTTGCACCGCATCTTTTGCCGATCTGCCTGCCCTCCTCCTCCGGGGCGGACATTCCCGCCCTATCTATGCTTTTTCGCACCGCCTCGGGGGCGCATTGCCCCCACGCGACCTTCGGTTGGAAGATCCGCCCACGGGCAAAAAGTACACATTGATCATTTCTAAGTATTTTAAAGTTCTTTGATGTTTCTGGGGGGCCAGGATCCTTCCGTTTCTGATTGTTCTATCCTGGGCCTCTTCCTGGCCATTAGGGGGTCAGGATCAATTATCGGCACGAATGAAGTGGGTACGGAAAGAATGGGTACGAACCCACAACAGCAGTTCCTGCTCATTTTGAACAGGACTCGCTGTCGGTGTCGCCGCGGCATGTGCCCATTTGAGACAGAAGGCCGCCTGCCCAACGGCGGCCGCTGATGGTCTGGGACAACAGCAGTTGTTCGGCATTGGACCCACTCTTTCCGCACCCATTTCGGGCGTCCAAAAATTAGAAGCGAGGACACTTAGGAACGAGCACGATCAGAAATTAACCGGAGATCCGGATATCCCCCGGGAGAGGAGATCCGGATATCCCCGGGGAGATCCTGATATCCCCCAGGAGAGGCACACGAGCACACGTGTACGCGACGGAGATCGGGATATCCCCCGGGAGGGGCGTGCGGGCCCCCGGGGGGGGGGCCCGGTGCCCGCCAGCAGCGCGCTTCCGCGCACGGCCGCCGCCCGCGCGCGACGATCCCCCGGCAGCGTGCGGGCGGCTGGGCCCGCCTCCGCGCCCTCCTCCTCCTCCTCCTCCTCCTCCTCCTCCTCCTCTCCTCCTCCTCCTCCTCCTCCTCCTCCCTCCTTCCTCCTCCTCCTCCTCCTCCTCCTCTCTCCTCCTCCTCCTTCCTCCTCTCTCCTCCTCCTCTCCTCCTCCTCCTCTCCTCCTCCTCCCTCCTCCTCCTCCTCCTCCTCCTCCTCCTCCTCCTCCTCCTCCTCCTCCTCCTCCTCCTCCTCCTCCTCCTCCTCTCCTCCTCCTCCTCCTCCTCCTCCTCCTCCTCCTCCTCCTCTCTCCTCTCCTCCTCCTCCTCCTCCTCCTCTCTCAATCCTCCTCCTCCTCCCTCCTCTCCTCCTCCTCCTCTCTCCTCCTCTCCTCCTCCTCCTCCTCCTCCTCTCCTCCTCCTCCTCCTCTTAATACTCTGAATCCTTCTCCTCCTCCTGAAATCCCTCCTCCTCCTTCCTCCTCTCCTCCTCCTCCTCCTCCTCCTCCTCCTCCTCCTCCTCCTCCTCCTCCTCCTCCTCCTCCTCCTCCTCTCAATTCTCCTCCTCCTCCTCCTCCTCCGCCTCCTCTTCCTTTTCCTCCTCCTCCTCCTTCTCCTCGGCCCGTCGTCGCGCGGCCCACCTGCGCGCCGAGCAGTGGGCGCGCGGCCGCCCCCAGCGCTCCCACGCAGAATTAACTCATCATGACGTGAGTAATACTGGCGCCGATGGTGTGCGAATCGGATCCAACCCTCCTGCAAGGGTCCGTGTCCGAACCCCCGTGTTCGCGCTGCGACTGACTGATCCGGCGGTTCTCCTTGCTACTCTTGACCCTTCCACCGGCCCGCAGGCCCGGGGCCCTCCTTCGGTGGTCCGAAGGAGTTTTTCGGGATCAGAAGCGGCCCCCCCCAACGAGCGTCGAATGGCAGCACTCGTCGAGCGAATTCGGTTCTCAGAAGAGACCACTCATGCCCGTTCCCATGGTTGTTTTTTCCAGGAGCTCTGGCCCAAGGCTTCTCCAGGCATTTTGATATGCAGCCTTAAGTTCTGGTTATTTTTTATTTGCGCTTAACTGAATATTCCATGCTGCGCACTCCCTTTTTTTACGGCAGCCCATTCAATTCCATTCCTCCTCCTGCCTTCCCCTCCCCCTTCCCTGCTCTTCCTGCTCTGTCTCATCATCATGATCATCATCATCATCATCATCATCATCATCATCATCATCATCATCATCATCATCATCATCATCATTATCATTATCATCATCATCATCATCATCATCATCATCATCATCATCATCATCATCATCATCATCATCATCATAATCATCATCATCAGCATCATCAGCATCATCATCAGCATCATCATCACCACCATCACCTTCATCATCACAATCACCATCACCATCATCATCCTAATCCTCATCATCATTACCACCATCGTAATCATATTCAGCATCACAATCGTCCTCCTCATCCCCCCCATCATCACCATGTCCATCATTACTCTTACCAGCATCATCGTCACCATCATCATCATCATCATCATCATCATCATCATCATCATCATCATCATCATCATCATCATCATCATCATCATCATCATCCCCCCCATCATCATCATCCTCACCATCACGGCAATCGGCATCAGCATCATAATCCTCATCGTCAGCGTCATCCTCATAGCCATTACCAGTTTCACCACCATCATCATGTTCCTCCTTCTACGCTCTGCTCCTGATCCTCCCCCTGGTGCCCACGGGGCAAGCCTCGCCATGCCTCTCGCAGTGCTGGCTGCCCCTGGGAGGTCGCCTCGCAGTTCAACTGCCTGGAGTTCGTCGGGCCGAGCTGCACGCCGGAGATGGGCGTCACGGGCTACGCGAGCGACCGGACCCAGGGCCCTTGCTGCGCGATAGCATGCGGCGCTGGCACCGTCTACAGGAACTACCTGGCGCCCGTTCGCGACCCGTCGGGCGGGCCGCCGCGCGAGGCTTGGGCCCCAGAAGCCAGGACTTTTTTGACAGATCCCAGCGGAGAGAAAGGTACATTCGAAGTTGATTAGTGGATCGACCCTTTCAGATCAAGGGAAAGGGATCAAGGGTACCCTTGTGCCCTTTTCTTGCCGCGTCCCACGTCCTCTTCAGTCCTGGGGAAGCGTGGCCCTCGGAAGGGTGCTGTGTCCTCTCGCGTGTCCTCTCCAACCAAGCCCGACTGTACCGATACCGTCACGGGGAGGCTGGATCACAAATTCGGGGCCGGTTGTATCGCGTGCTGTGGGCTTCCAGTAGTATTTCTCCGGTCGGACCGCGCCAAACCTGAAAAAGATGGGTGCGCGATTTTAGGGATACTATGAGGTCTTTGTTCTTTCCTCTGTGGCATTATTTGCTGGCCCACGCGAGCGGGACATCCCCTACTCTAAACATTCGGTCCGCAGTGATTCCAGCCCTTCGTGTTTCCAGCCTCCTCGTACTACTACCCTTGCCTCGCTCCCGCCTCTTTGGGTCTCCCGGGTGGCCCCCGTCGCCGCGGCGCGGCTCGCCCCGAAGTTTCCTGGTCGGCACGCGCCCCAGGAGAGGCCCAGGGAGTGCGAAGCGGTAGTGGTGCACGCACTGTTTTTCCCCAAGACTGAGCTGGAGAAGCGCATCCTCCAGATTTCGTAATAAAAGGGAGGGGGTCTCATTTCGGGGGGGGTCTCTTCCAGGCTATATTGGAGGGCCTGGGGGGGTCTGGGGACGATGTTTTGGAGGGTTCTCCCACGGGGGGGGGGGGGTCTGAAATGGCTTGTCTTGGAGGGTCCAGACCCCCTCCCTTTTATTACGAGATCTGGAGTACGGTCGGGAACTTTTGGATTGCGTGTCGCTCCGCCACTTCTGACCCACCGCGCTTTGGTGCGACACGAGATCCACTTCGCGGTCCCGGGGCGTCAATGTCCCGAGTCATTCCGAGCCTTCCGCCCCGCGGGGCGGAGTGACACGCCATCCACTCGCAAGGCAGCGCGTCGCCGGGGCCGCAGGGGCGACACTCCATCCAAAAGGTCCCGACCGTGATAGAGAATGGTTCCTCCCGCGGCTGCGATTTCCTCGGGCGCGCCACTTGTCTTGGTCTGTCAGGAGTTGGTGAGGCCTCGGGGTTGTGCACAGACCACCCCCCCAGACGCACAGACCGTCAGCTGTGGAGAGGGTGGAGCGCCTCCGGCACTCGTGTCTGAACAGGAGTATGCGACCGAAGTTTGTGCCGTGAGGCGCGAACGAGCAGCCACCACAGGTAATTTAGTCCCGGCTGGCCTCGACAGCCTCCACGAGCAGTCCGGGGCGGTCTCCACACCCTGGCGCCGCCTTCGGCGGCCCCCCCCTGGAGGGCGCTCTGCGCCCCAGGATCGGGGTGTTGAGACAAATTTGGACTACTCGTGAGGCCTGGTGACGCCAGCCGGGGCCACTCGGGGGGCCTGCTGAGGCCAGCTGTGGCTGCCTGGGGGGGCCTGTTGAGGCCAGCCAGGGTCAACCCGGGTGGACTGTCTGTGCGCAACCCGACGCCTTTCCATCATCAAAAGCCCCCGTCCCACGGGGCCGCTGCGCGAGGGACAGCGGGCGGACAGCCAGATCGAGTGCCTCCGCGACCTGACGGGCGAGCTGGCCGGCGGCGAGGCTGCGCCGCCCGCGGGCTATTTTAGGGTGAGGGGCGGTTACACTTTGGCCGAGGACCGCGGCCTCAGGAGCCAGAGGACAAACACACGCACACACACAAGCACACATGCACTCCCCCCCCACCCCACCCCACCCACACACACAAACACACACACCACACACACACACACCACACACCACACACACACACACACGCACACGCACACGCACACGCACACGCACACGCACACGCGCACGCGCACGCGCACGCGCACGCGCACGCGCACGCGCACGCGCACGCGCACGCGCACGCGCACACGCACGCGCACACGCACACACACACATACACACACACACATCACACACACACATCACACTCATCTCACACATCACACGCACCTTTGGGGCGTCGCGGCCTCGCGCGCAGCGCCGAGGCGAGGAAGGTCGATGAGTGGGAAGTGCGCGCGGCAGACACACATTCAGAAGCCAGGGGCAGGGGATCCACTCAAAGGGCTCAGACGTGCCATACGCAAACCCGTGGCAGAGATGCGGGGGACAGACGAGGAGGAAACGAGAGGCCAGTGCCTACAGCGCAGGCGAGACGCAGCGGCGGCAGCAAAGGCGAAACCGCGATGGGCGATCACACACAAACACACCACACACAGCACAGACACCCACACACACACCACACTCACAACAAAATGTCCGGTCGCACGCACCTGGGGCGGGAAGCCACACGAGCGCTAAAAATCGCACGCCCGGCGGCAACGCCGGGCAAGCAGAAAGTGAAGCGCCAAGGGATGATGCAGGGAAGGCCGAAAATCGGCTGGCCTACTTCGGACGACAAGGGGCCAGCGGGACAAGGGCAAGGAGGTCCAAGCAATGCGAAGAGAGAGGCGAGGAGCGACAAGCGCGCACACACCACACACACACACACACACACACACACACACCACGTGCACACACACACACACACACCACGCACACAAAAACACACACATACGCACACACACCCACACACACTTTTTCATGCAGCGGCGAGGTGGCGGCACTTTCGCGAAGCGCTACGCTGGGCCACGTTGAGGCGAATTCCCGCCGGGCGTAGCAGATGGGTGGACTTGGGGGGAAAGAGGCGGGAGCGCGCGCGCACGCAGAAGATGCGGGCTTCGGCCATGCAAATGCAGCAGCACTGGCCGAGCACCACCTGACCGACGGACGAGCAGGGGCTGAAAGGAGGCGGCGTGCGGTGAGAGCGCGGGAAGTGCGAGACGGATGCTGCGGAAGAGACCCATACACACAAACACGCACACTGTTCCCACCAACGCGCGGCTGAGTCCGAACCGCGGAAGCGACGCAACGGGCCACGTTTTCCTCGAGTTGCGTTTCTTGTCAAACGGTGTTGAATATGATGCGCGAGACGCTCTCACGGAGAAGCACGCACACGCCCGCCCCCCCCCCCCCCCCCACACACACACACACACACACACACACACACACACACACACACACACGCACACACACGCACACACACGCACACGCACGCACGCACGCACGCACGCACGCACGCACACACACACACACACACACACACGCACACACACACGCACACACGCTCAAACACACACACGCACACTCTCTCTCACGCACACACACACGCACATAGATATATATATATATATGTATACACATATATATATATACACACACACGCACACACGCGCACGCAAAACACGCATAATGACACGATAATGACCGTTCCCTTGTCGTTCTCGCCTCTTTGGGCCTCCCTTGCGGGCTCCGTCGCCACGGCCACACTCGCCCTGGACAGATCCAGACCCAGGGACAGGCCTCCGGCGAGCACCCCAGGGAGCCCCTCGCGGCCAAAGCGCACCCTGGGACAGGTCTGCAAAGCACCAGTGCCGGGACATGTTTGCTCCCCCGAGGAGCCTCAACGACAAGTTGGGGAAGCTCAGCGAGGTCGAGCTCGACCGCCTGCGTTCGAAGCTGCGCGTCGGCGTGCAGCAAGACCTGCAGGTAACCAGCACCTCCTGGGGCTCGCGGCAGCTGCGCGACCCCGAGCAGCTAGTGACGCAGGCCTTCTGCTCGGCATGCTCGGTGGCATACTCCAGGAATGGCACGGCCCTCTGGGAGCCATTCGCAAGGCTCGTTCTGGAGGCGTCTTATGAGGCCACTCTGTGGGCAGCGGTGGCATCCGCGCTCGCCCACAACGGCCTCCTGGGCTCCCGGCGCGTCTTCTTGACCGCAGTGGGCGGTGGAGTCTTTGGCAATAGCATGGAGTGGGTCGCTGCTGCCATCGACCGGGCAGTGGAGAAAGTGTGCTTGAGCAACAGGATTCGCGGAACAACGAGTTGCATAAACATATTAACCAGCGTGGACCCAACCATTGTGTTTTAGCATACGATGTGGTACAATATATGTGGTGAGATGTATGCTTGTGAGTATACAAGTGTACAGTTGTATCTACGTCTACTTGTTTATATGTATAAAGAATGTTAGCCAGTGTGGAGCCCAAACAGTGTGGCTCTAACAAAATATGTTTTGCAATGCATGTGGCGCAATCTTGGTGGTGCAATCTACGTGTTGTAATTTAGGTTCGTGCAATATATGTGGGGCAATCTACGTGGTGCTATTTGTGAAGCGGAACTTATGTAGGGCAATACATGTTGCACACTATACATGTTGTGCAATCTATGCTGTGCAAGCCATCTGGTGCAATATGTATATGGATTTATTCATGACATGCAATATATGTGGTGCAACCTATGCTGTACAATCTACGTTGAGCGATCGAGGTGGTGCAATCTATGTTGTGCAAGCTACGTTGTGCAATGTGGAGCAATCTACGTGGTGCAAATCACCCTTCCGAACTTGAAGTTGTCGATTCCACTGCTCGCACAACCATCCCACCCACCCACCCGCAACTTGACTTGTAAAACTCATGCGGGGGCGATTGTGATGAGTGTTTGGTGTTGGCTGGTGCATCTCTGTGGCCGCGCTAGCCAGAGCATGCTCGCGCGCGCATCGGCCAGCTAGTTCGGCGCGACCGACGCGAACGCGGTATCGCGGCAACGTCGACAATCGTAGATGCGATGGTGACATTAGCGATGCTAGTGGCGATGTCGACAACGACACCGGCACGGGCAGTGACGTAGCCCATGCTGATCACGCCGACGACGATGACTAATCACGCCGACGACGATGACGGCGTCCTCGCATCGGTGATGCAGGTTTTGGAAGGAGTTCGACATGCGCGCGCGGCCAATACGCGAAAGTGGCCCGCATGGTATTCTGTGACACGGATCGTGGCCCCCCCCAGCACGCGCGCAAGGGCGTTCGAATGATTTCGGCATGCGGCGCGGGTGGCCTGGGTGGCAAATTTCCATGAACATGTTGAAAAGCTTATGGTTTTCGTAATAATTCGCCAGGGCGCGAGCGCAGGCTTTATATATATATATATATATATATTCAATAATAATAAAAAAAAAAACGATGTTGCCAAACCGTGTGAGGGGTCTCGCGACACTCAGTTTTGAAATCCCTGCGAAACCGAAGGTTTTTAACGGATTCCGGCATGCGTGCGCGACGGCGCGCGCGTGCACACTTCGTCCCGTTTTCTGCAAAGGATTCTTGCGACAGCACGCGCGCAAGGGAGTTCGAACGATGTCGGCATGCGCGCGCGAAACCCCGCTTGGCAGCATGTTATGAACATGAGTTGGACAAAAACTTACGGTTTCCGCAAGAATCCGCAGAAGCGCGAGCGCACGTCATTTTTGATAAACTCTGTTTCGCGACCATGTGATTTTATATGTTTTTGTTTGGACGCGCGCGCGACGACGCGCGCGTTTGCGCGTCGTTTATGTTTGGCCGAAGTGTTTTTGAAAACGGATGGGTTTTGATAACCGAGTGCAGGCGCATGGTAGTTTTTTTGCAAAGGATGGCGGGGGGGGGTCGATACCGATTCCCCTGGCATGGTACGAACTCGTATTTAGGATGGGCGAAGTGGCAGAATTATATGTAGATTGCAAGACGCAAAGGGGGGCGCAACAATCCCGGGGGTGTAGAACTTGTTCATTTGTGAGAAAGGAGAATATACATGGTGTGCTACGGGTCGAGCAACATATGTGGTGCAATCGGCGCTGTGCAGTTTATGTGGGGTAACCTATGTGGTCCAACTGATGGTGTGCAATCTACGTGGTACAATCTACGTGGTGCAACTCATTTTGACCGTCTTGAAATTGTCCTCTCTACTACCCGTGCAAACATCCCACCCTCCCACCCGCAACTTGGTCGCAAGACTTCTTAAGACAAGACCGTGACGGTAGGTACCACATGGCACTTGGCCACGACACCGACGCCGACGACGACAGCGACAACGACGACGACGGCGCCGCAGACACCGACTACGACGACACCGCCGACGTCGACGTCGACGAAAACGACGACGACGTGGACGCCGACGACGACGAAGACGACGACGACGTCGCCAACGGAGACGGTGACGAGGGAGGAGAAAAAACAACCACGGCGACAACGACGACAACGACGATGGAGGAGGGAAGACGGCAACGACGCGAACGACGAAGAAGGAGGAAAGACGGCGACGCCGACGACGACAACGACGAGGGAGGAGGGAAGACGACGACGACGACGACAACGACGACGAAGACGACGACGACGGCGACGAAATAGGAGGGACGACGACGAAACGCCGACGACGGACGACGACGACGACGACGAGGGAGGAGGATAACGACGAGGGAGGAGTGAAGACCACGACGACGACGACGACGACGACGACGGCGACGAAATAGGAGGGACAACGACGAGACGCCGACAAAGACGACGAGGGAGGAAGGACGACCACGGCGACAACGACGACGGAAGCGACGACGACGCCAAGACGACGACGACGACGACGACGAGGAAAGACAGAAGACGACGACGGCGACGACGACGACGACGACGAGGGAGGAAGGTGACGACGACGACGACGCAAGAGCGCGCGCGCACGCTTTTGTTGAAAATCCGTGTTGCGAAACCTTGTGTCTTTGTGTGTTTTTTGGACGCACGATTTTGACATCCTTCCGAAACCGATGGGTTTTGAAGGTTTTCGGCATACGCCCGCGACGACGCGCGCGTGTGCACTTCGTCTTTTTTTTTTTGCAAAGGATTCTCGCGACGGCACACGCGCAAGGGCGTTCGACAGATTTCGACACGCGCGCGCGAAGCCTGTTTGGTAGCATTTTGTGAAAATCTTGAAACCTATAGTTTTCTTAAGAGTTCGCAAGAGCTCGCGCGTAAGTTGTTTAGCAAATCAGTGTTGCGAAACCCAGTGTTGTTGTATGTTTTTTTGGAACTCGATTGCGAAATCCTTCCGGCACCAAAGGTTTTTTGAAGGATTCCGGCATGCGCGCGCGACGACGCGCGCGTGCACACTCCGTCCCGTTTTTTGCATGGGATTCGCGGAAAAGTTGTATTTTAGAACAACAAATGTCACCGCATAGTGTTTTTGCACAAGGGAACCTCAGGGGGGGAACCCGGCCTGCCTGGGATGGTATGATTTCATATTTAGGATGGACGAGTGTGCAGAAAATATATGAAATCATATTATCCCAGGGGGAAGCGATAAGTCCGGGGGGGTGGTAGAGTCTATTCTTTTTTTAGAAAGGAGCATCCACTTGCCGAACTTAAAGTTGTCAACTCCACTGCTCGCGCAAACATCCCGCACACCCACCCGCAACTTGATTTGCAGAATCTGTTAAGACCGTGACGGTGGGTACCAAATACACTTGGCAACGACAGCGACGCCGACGACGACAGCGACAACGACGACGACGACGCCGCCGACAACGACTACGACGACACCGACGACGTCGCCAACGACTTCGACGACGCCGACAAGGACGACGACGACGACACCGACGACGACGACGCCGACGACGACGACGATGACAACGACGACGACGATGACGACGCCGACGACGACGACGACGACACCGACGACGACGATGTCAACGACGCCGACGACGACAACGACGACGACGACGACGGCGGCGACGACGACGACGCCGACGACGACGACGAAGACGACGAGGACGCCGACGCCGACGACGACGGCGAAGACGACGACGACGTCGCCAACGAAGACGACGACGATGGAGGAGGGAGGACGACGACGGCGACAACGACGACAACAACGACAACGACGAGGGAGGAGAGAGGACGGCGACGACGCGAACGACGAAGAAGGAGGGAGGACGGCGACGCCGACGACGATAACGACGAGGGAGGAGGGAAGACGACGACGACAACGACGACGACGACGACGGCGGCGACGACATAGGAGGGACGACGACCAGACGCCGACGACGGAAGACGACGACGGCAAGGGGGGAGGAGGAAGGACGACCACGGCGACAACGACGACGGAAACGACCACGACGCCAAAAAGGACGATGATGACGACGAACACGAGGAAAGACACGACGACGTAGGCGACGACGACGACGACGCGGGAGGAGGGAGGACGGCGACGACCACGACGACGACGACGACGACGCAAGAGCGCGCGCGCACGCTTTTGCTGAAATTCCGTGTTGCGAAAACTTGTGTTTTTGTATGTTTTTTGGACGCACGATTTTGACATCCTTCCGAAACCGATGGGTTTTGAAGGATTTCGGCATACGCCCGCGACGACGCGCGCGTGTGCACTTCGTTTTTTTTTTTTTTGCAGAGGATTCTCGCGACGGCACACGCGCAAGGGCGTTCGACAGATTTCGACACGCGCGCGCGCGAAGCCCGTTTGGTAGCATTTTGTGAAAACCTTGAAAACCTATGGTTTTCTTAAGATTTCGCAAGAGTTCGCGCGTAAGTTTTTTAGCAAATCAGTGTGTGCGAAACCCAGTGTTGTTGTATGTTTTTTTGGAATTCGATTGCGAAATCCTTCCGACACCGAAGGTTTGTTCTATGATTTCGGCATGCGCGCGACGGCGCGCGCGTGCGCACTTCGTCCCATTTTGCGCAAGGGATTCGTGAAACAACTGTTATGTTAGAACAAAAAATGTCCCCGCGTATTGCTTTTACCAGGGAACCTCAAGGGGGTCGATACCGTCCCCCTGGGATAGTGTAAGTTCATATTTAGGATGGACATGTGGTGAGAATCGCATATGATTTGCATACCCGAAAGAGGGGGGCGATAACGCCGGGGGGTAGAGCCGATTCTCTGTTTAGAAAGGAGAACCGATGCTGTACAACATCTGTTTGGCAACATGCTTATACATAGATGAGCCAATACACGTGGTGCAATCTAATTACGCGGAGCAACTTCAGT